GCTCCGCGGGAGAAAGATGAGGCTTTCTACTCCCGTAAAGATTTACACCCTCGGAAACCCTGTACAGGGTCGCTATGGGTCGGAACCGACTCGACGGCACATAACAACATACTGTCGCTATGGGTCGGAACCGACTCGACGGCACATAACAACAACAACAAAATAAGATTTGTTAATAAATTAATTGCTAAAAAATCATTATCAGCTTTTCTTGATACTAACTTCAGAAAGAACTACTTCCTATGAATATTATAGAGGAAAACTAAACGTTAAGCCACCAAAATACCCAGAACATCAATAAAATGGTTTACTAGGGGCTTAGAGTTGGGGCAAAACACATAAAAATGATTTGTGAAAAAATTATTAAATAAAGTGATTAATGATGTTACTTAAAATGAAACAAAATACTCATACAAGATCATATAGAATATACTGACCTTCCTGAATTGCCATGTCCACTGTTCTCCTAGAAGCCGAATGTAGAAGTTTTTGGTAATTCTGTGCATTTTGGTCGAACAACTGTACAAGAAGAGTGCATGTTTTTTCATATTCACACCTACTGACAGTGCACAACTGCTCCAGCTGCTGAAACACAGTAGCGGTATCATCCAGTGGGTCATCTAGATGATCTCTACAAATATGTAAAACCAAGTTTACAAATAGCATTAGAATATTATGTATTTTTCCCACCAAAAATAAACTTTCTTTATGTTAAATAAAATTCTATGAAGGATAAAGAAGTAAAAGGCAAATGAACAGAAAGGAAGTTGTTATTATTACAGGCCTTTGAATAGTTTCGGATTCATAACAACCCTGATAAGGTTTTCAAGGAGTGGCTAGGGAGTTTGAACAGCAGACCCTAAGGTTCAAACTGACCTTGCAGTCCAGTGTGTTATCCTGCAGCACCACACCAGGACACCAGAAAGGAAGAAATTAAACTATATATATATATATATATGAGGCTTTCTGCTTTCGCAAAGATTTAAAGCCTTAAAAACCCTATACAAGAAATAGAGGAATATACAATAATAGTGGGAGATTTTAATACACCACTTTTGAAAATGATAAAACAACCAGAAAGAAACTCAACAAAGTCACAGAGGAACTAAACAATACAATCAGCCAACTGGACTTCATAGATGTGTACAGTGCATTCAACCCAACAACAGGACAAAACACATTCTTATGCAGTGCGCATGAACATTCTTCAGAATAGACCATGTCTTAGGCCACAAAACAAGCCTCCATAAATTTGCAAATATCAAAATAATACAAGCATCTTCTCAGACCACAACGCTATCATATTAGACATTAATAATAGGAAGACCAAAGAAAAAAAGTCAAATATATGGAAACAGAACAACCCTGCTGAAAAGCAACTGAAGAGTAGAAGAAATAAAACGTGAATTCACAAAGTTCCTAGAAACAAATGAGAATGAAAACACAATATACCAAAATATTTGAGACACGGCAAAAGCAGTGATGAGAGGACAACTTATTACAATAAATGTACACATCCAAAAAGAAGAAAGAACCAAAATTAACACATTAACACAGCATCTCCAAGAATTAGACCAACAGAGGGGACCCACAGTCACCAAAAGAAAAGAAATAATAAAGATTAGAGCAGAAATAAATGAGATAGAAAACAGAAAAACTATAGAAAAAAAAATCAGCTGGACAAGAAGTTGGTTCTTTGAAAGGATTAATAAAATTGACAAACCAATGGCAAATCTAACAAAAGAAAAGAGAACGAAGACACAAATAACGCACATTAGAAACCACATGGGGGATGTGACAATGGAACCAAACGAAATCAAAAGGATAATAACAGAGTACTATGAAGAGCTGCACTCCAACAAATTTGAAAATCTACAAGAGATGGACACATTTTTAGAAAAGCACGACCTACCTAAACTTACACACAGTGAAGTAGAAAACCTGAACAGACCCATAACAAAAGAAGAAATTGGTCAGGTTATCAAAAAACTCCCAACCAAAAAAAGCCCCCAAGTCCAGATGGCTTCACTGGTGA